ACTTGGGGCTCGATCCCAGGATCCCGGGATCATGACCTGAGCCGAAGGGAGACATTTAACCGACTGAGCCACCCAGGCGCCCCTACATTAAGTATTCTTTAGAAGTAAACTACTTTCATAATGTGAGTTTAAATTTCATGTAGTTTTCTGTTTTATGGTTTTATCATAATTTAACCAATTTCTTTTTTTTTTAGAGTCATAAAATTTATTTTTTTATGTAAAAATAGAAATAATTTTATTTCAATTTAAAATAGCAATTTTATCTTGCTAAATGTGATGATCAGACAAATCCCTTAACTCTTCAAAGAAAGGTTTCTTGGAGGTTAGCATGCTTAGTTAAGTACATACTTTTTTTTTAAATTTTTATTATGTTATGTTAGTCACCATAAATACATCATTAGTTTTTGATGTGTTCCATAATCCATTGTTTTCGTATAACACCCAGTGCTCCATGCAGTACGTGCCCTTCTTAATACCCATCACTGGGCTAACCAATCTCCTCTCCCTCCTCCCCTCTAAAACCCTGTTTGTTTCTTAGAGTCCATAGTGTCTCATGGTTCATCTCTCCCTCCAATTCCCCCCCCCTCATTTTTCCCTTCCTTCTCCTAGTGTCCTCCATGCTATTCCTTATGTTCCACAAATAAGTGAAACCATATGATAATTGACTTTCTCTGCTTGACTTATTTCACTTAGCATAATCTCCTCCAGTCCCATCCATGTTGATGTAAAAGTTGGGTATTCATCCTTTCTGATGGCTGAGTAATATTCCATTGTATATATGGACCACATCTTCTTTATCCATTCGTCTGTTGAAGGGCATCTCAGCTCTTTCCACAGTTTGGCTATGGCGGACATTGCTGCTATGAACATTGGGGTGCATATGGCCCTTCTTTTCACTATATCTGTGTCTTTGGGGTAAATACCCAGGAGTGCAATTGCTGGGTCATGGGGTAGCTCCATTTTTAAATTTTTGAGGCACCTCCACACTGTTTTCCAAAGTGGCTGTACCAACTTGCATTCCCACCAACAGTGTAAGAGGGTTCTCCTTTCTCCACAACCTCTCCAACATTTGTTGTTTCTTTCCCTGTCCATTTTTGCCATTCTAACTGGTGTAAGGTGGTATCTCAATGTGGTTTTGATTTGAATTTCCCTGATGGCTAATGATGATGAACACTTTTTCATGTGTCTGTTAGCCATTTGTATGTCTTCTTCAGGGAAGTGTCTTTTCATATCTTCTGCCCACTTTTTGACTTGATTATTTGTTTTTTAGGTGTTGAGTTTGAGAAGCTCTTTATAGATCTTGGATACCAGCCCTTTATCTGTAGTGTCATTTGCAAATATCTTCTCCCATTCTTTGGGTGGCCTCTTTGTTTTGTTGACTGTTTCCTTTGCTGTGCAGAAGCTTTTTATCTTGATGCAGTCCCAAAAGTTCATTTTTGCTTTTGTTTCACTAGCTTTTGGAGATGTATCTTGAAAGAAGTTGCTGTGGGTGATGTCAAAGAGGGTATTGCCTATGTTCTCCTCTAGGATTTTGATAGATTCCTGTCTCACATTGAGGTCTTTCATCCCCTTTGAGTTTATCTTTGTGAATGGTTAATTTAACCAATTTCTTAATGGACATTCATGATGTTTATAATTGTTCCTATTCCACATAATGCTGTGAGACAATTCTTGTGTCATGTCTCTGCGTTCTTGTCCTGTTGTCTTAGTATAAATTCCTGGGTCTGCACTTGTGTGCTTCAGAGTATGCAAACTTAAGACTTCAAATACATATCACAAATTGCATTCTAGAAAGGTTGTATTATTTTATAACACCTTCAGTAATGTACAGAGTTTGCCAGATTCCCAGGCCCCTAAATATGGACTGTTATTTAAAAATCTTTGTTTAGCTTTTATATTCAGTCTTCTTTAGAAATACAGTTTAAATGGAGTCTCATTTTATATCATTATTTAGATTTATTTAGATTTTGTATCATTTTAATTTTATCATTTAGATTAATATATATGTATTATATACAAGAGTGTATATATACATATACACATACACAGGAGTAGGTTAATATTTTGACATATGGATAGGGGTGGTCCAAAATCCAGGTACTATGATTTTTGCCTTTCTGTAGTCTTTTTCGGGGAATAAACCATTCTGGATACTTGGGCTTTCTGAATATCTGTATATTTCATTATTTCTACTTCATATTCGGAATGTAACCCGGCTTTATCTATGGTGCAGAGGTGTTCCTCGGAGGGTTAATTTTCAGAGCATGTTGTCAGAGTGCTAACTCGAAGGTCAGTCCCTGTGATGAGGTTAAGCTTTAAACTGTTAGCTACCCTTAAGTATTTGATTGCATAGCATCTTGGCCATTGCAAGCTAGTAAGTAGGTGATACTTCCCTTGTTTCAGATGTGTAGACAGGTTCAGAGAGGTTATTTAACTTGCTTAAGGTCAGACAGCTCTTAGGTAATGAAAGTGGAGTATGAATATACTTTTGTCTGACATGAGCCCTTTCTCTTTCCATTTTGCCATTGGCTGTCCTGCCCTCTTGATCGGCCCCATTCAGGGCCATTGACTGTCACTCTTCACTGCCCTCCATGTGTCAATAGGTACAACTCTTCTTTCTTCTAACTCACCTCTTCTACTCTAGGTTAATGTGGGAACTTAATCACCAGATTGTGTCAGGAGTGGATAATTCAGTATTGGGGGCTCTGAGGGGGCTGTCCTGACTAGAGAGAATGGACTTTGACATCTGTTTTGGGTGTTCCTGGGACTTTTTCATGCCTTTTTGGCTTTGGATAGGAGTTCCCAGATAAATGAGATCTTATTGTGTTTTCACTAGTTGGGATCAATGCTCATCTTTTTTTTTAAAGATTTTATTTATTTATTCATGAGAGACACAGAGAGAGAGGCAGAGGGAGAAGCAGGCTCCCAAGGAGCAGAGAGCCCGATGTGGGACTCGATCCCAGGACCCTGGGATCATGACCTGAGCCGAAGGCAGACGCTCAACCATCTGAGCCACCCAGGCGCCCATCTTTTTTTTTTTTTTTTTATCATTTATTTATTTTTGAGAGAGAGAGAGAGTGAGTGGGGGCATGTGGGCAGAGGGAGAGAGAGAATCCTCAAGCAGACTCCCCACTTAGCTCGGAGCTTGATGTAGGGCTCGATCCCAGGACTCTAAGATCATGACCTGAGCCAAAATCAAGATGCTTAACTGACTGAGCCACCCAAGCGCCCCTCAGTGCTCATCTTGAGTTTATTTTGGATCTCTTTGGGGCAGAATTCAAGAGAGTTTGTGCTGCACAAACTATGAGCACCTGGCTAGCTGGAGTAATCCATGAGGCACTCAAGGTTTTCCCCAAAGGAATGTACCACTCTGTTTGGATATGTTTTATTGCATTTTTATTTTATTTTATTTTATTTTATTTTATTATTTTATTTTATTTATTTATTTGACAGAGAGACAGTGAGAGAGGAATGCAAACAGGGGGGAGTAGGAGCGGGAGAAGCAGACTTCCCGCTGAGCAGGGAGCCCAATGTTGGGCTCGATTCCAGGATCCCAGGACCATGACGTGAGCCAAAGGCAGATACTTAACAACTAAGCCACCCAGGAGCCCCTGTTTTATTGCATTTTTAAACTTTGTGTTTTACTTATGTGGCTGTGAGGTCCTTGAGGGAAGAGCTTCTGCATTTTTTTTCTTTAGATCTCCACCATCCAGATAAGTGCCTGTAACAGAGATACTCAGCCAATGTTCCATTCATGGGGCAATGTAGCCTTTTTGTAGATTAATGCTGTGTATGGGAAGGGATCCCCTACTTCTTGTGTTTGAGTGTGTTACCTCCTGGCCCAGGCTCCCATCCATAATTACAGAACCAGCTTATGAGAAACTAACTTCTATTCTACAAAATAACTGCTTGTCAGTTAACAGACAATATGCCTAGCCGTGGTGATGTTGGGCACCATGGAAAAGATGCGGAATGCATACAGGGATTGTAGGTGGGCTGAAGACCTAGCCGTGGTGAGTAAGGACAGCAGGAGATTCGTAGCTACTTAGGGTTTAAGATCAGGGACTTCCCAAATCAGATTTCCAATATGGTATTTCTCCCTGAAGTGGCAGGTGGAGCAAGGACTCCTGCCTGCAGGTGGTGGATACATCTGTAGGTCCACTGGGGTCACTGCTATTGCCATGCACACTGCCCACACCTTAACTGGGGACCCAGTGTCAGGACTTGTTCTTGGAACAGCTTATTCCTACTCCGGCCTCTCTAAGACCCCCTTTCCTCTCAGCTACTCCACCCTCAAGAGACAGGATCTGTACATATTTTTCCAGGGGCTTCACTAAGGAACATTGGTTGTGGTAACTGTAGGTGGTCTGTTCTTATGTCATAGCCTTAAGTGGGGAATTGTCTGTTTAAAGTACGTACCGTCTTCCGTGCCTGTCTTTTGTCTCTCTGTGTCAGGATTTCATAGCCCTCTCTCTAGGATGTTTCAGTAAATATGGCTCATTACACAAATCAGGGCCAGTCCATGAATCCATTTAAGGAGAGCATGCCCTCTGCAATTCAGCTTTGTCATGAAACTTGAGAAATTGAAGGATGGAATTGAAATTAATGATGTGCATAGAGTTGATATTTCAAGTTTATATCTTAATCTGTTTTTATTTACTCTTAGTAGGCTAGATTGCCCATAGAATTTTTATAGAAAAGATGTTGGAAATGTAGCTTCTAACTTTTGTTGATTACCCATAAAATGGTTCCATTACAGAAAACTCTCATCGTGGGTTGTTTTTTTTTTTTTTTCCTGTTTATATTTGTTAATACTAAAATGGCTCATCTCTCTCTTTGTAACATAGAACCACATGTAATTTCCTATTGGGGACAACTTTTGATGATATATGCACATCCTTCAAGATAACATTAGATGCATATTAATTAATCTAATGCTAAATTTGACTGTATTAACCCTGATTAAGAGAAAATTAATACCCAAATCTTGTTTTTTTCAGGCAGTAACAGAGAAGAATTTTGAAACAAAGGATTTTCGAGCTTCTCTGGAGAATGGTGTTCTGTTGTGTGAGTAAGTATTTAAAGCAGTTAAAAAATAATTCAAAAGCGAAGATGTGTATGTGTGTTGTGAGTTGTCTTCACTCTTCCCTCCATGGCCACCATAATCACAGATCTGTTTTCTTGGTAACAAGTGAGATTTGATCTCTGCAAATTGACACCCCCCACAGTACCAGACAGTAGGAAGGGGTTATCAGTCTCTGCATCTAAAGATAGCATTGGTGAAATATATATTATTTTAAATTAGTAAACAAGAAAGATTCTGTTATTGCTTGATGGGCCAGTAGGGGTGGGTGGTTGAGGAGGAAGCCTTATTACATTGCACCAGCTCTCCCTCTGAATATTCTTTTTTTTTTTTTAAAGTTATTTATTTATTTATTTATTTTATTTGACAGAAAGAGACACAGCGTGAGAGGGAACACAAGCGGGGGGGTGGGAGAGGGAGAAGCAGGCTTCCCACTGAGCAGGGAGCCCAATGTGGGGCTCGATCCCAGGACCCTGGGATCATGACCTGAGCAGAAGGCAGACACTTAACGACTGAGCCACCCAAGTGCCCTTCCCTCTGAATGTTCTAACATATGGAATTGCCTGGTTTAGAAGTTAATATAAAACTTTTTTCTTCATCTGTAAATAGTGATGCTTGTAGAACAAATTTAAGCACTAGCAAATTTTTCTTTTAAGCTTTAAGTGGAGTCCTCACATTGCCACCATCAATTTGAGTCAATGACCCATGGGCCATTCATTCAATTAATATATTATTGAAAATCACATCCCAGGATTTTGTTATCATAAGTAAACTAGGCTGGTGGCATGACTGATGGTATGGAGCCTACATTGTGTGTTTAGTCCCACTGTTTTGTCCCCCAGTGGATGCATAGTGCAGTTAGCCAGGTATGTGACCTTTGGGGGTGAAGGGGAGGCATGCCTGTGGGATGTAAAGATGAAGTCCCTGGTGAGGGTGCAGTTGCAGAAGTGAGCAAATAAATTATAAGAATGCCCTTGAGTATGCACCCACATTTTTGAAAGGGCTTAAGTACTCCAATCTAGACACTTATCACATAGGTATTTATGGAATCTGTCCACAAAGTAAACATTGGGAGTATATGTGCTTCTATTTAGATGATTTTGATTATCCTTTTATTTTTATTTTATTTTTTTATTTTATTCTTATGTTAATCCCCATACAGTACATCATTAGTTTTAGATGAGGTGTTCCATGATTCATTGTTTGTGCACAACACCCAGTGCTCTATGCAGAATGTGCCCTCCTCAATACCCACCACCAGGCTAACCCATCCTCCCACCCCCCTCCCCTCTAGAACCCTCAGTTTGTTTTTCAGAGTCTATCGTCTCTCATGGTTCGTCTACCCCTCCGATTTCCCCTGCTTCATTCTTCCCCTCCCGCTACCTTCTTCTTCTTTTAAAGGAAGGTTGCTTCAGCAAAGATCAGGAGTCAAAGGGCTTAGGTTTGATTCCTTGCCCTATTACTTTTGGACATTTGAGCAATTAGCATCTGAGCCTTATTTTCTCATCCGTGAAGTGGAGATCAGCATATCTGATCTGCCTATCTCACAGAGTTGCAAAATTCCATAATATGTATATTAAGGTTTATATAAACTATCTTTGCATAAATAAAAGTTGTTGCTAGGAAGATGGCCATGTAGATAATAACATCTATCTCATTAGCTCTGTTGGTAGATGTTCAAATTTTTTGTCTTAGAGCAATATTATTAAATTGAACCATATGCAGTTGTTGATATTCAACCCTCTGTGACCTTCAGAAATGTCAATTTCATGTGGTTCTGCCTAATACATAGCAGAGCAGGCATCTGAAGAAGGGCCACAAGTAAAGTTTAAGGGGTGTTTCTTGTCCTCTTCTGATGTATATTTGGAAGTGCCATTGCCAAATATGTTTAAACTAATTCTAGTAGACCACATGGTCAATCTAATTGGTCAGTGTTAGGAAATTACTTTATATTAATTTGAAAACTATAGAATTTAAATGTGTCCTAATGTGTTCAGAAGATGGGGGGAATGATGGTTAGAAAGATGCATGTGATCTGAAAGCTACCTTAGCTATGAGTGTGGACTATTTAGAGGTTTGCAATGAAATAACTTTCTCCACAAGTCAGGATAAGCCTTAGCTACGAAGTGTGCCTATGAAGTATTGAGTTGTTTGTAGACATGTGAGAGCATATAGCCCAAACAGGTGATCTTTTCAAAGAAGTCACTTTGTGGGTATATACTGCCAGTGATGAACTATCACTTAAATTATTTTTAGGGTTCCCCTTTTTGGGGCATTGCCTCCATAACAAGATCATTAAACATACTTGTGTGACAGTTTTTTGTTTGTTTGTTTGTTTTTGTTTTTATTAAAATGCAATTTATGCACCAGCCTGGTCTCTGAATGATTTGAGGTGATTTGTAAAAACCATACCCAACCTGAGAGGAGGAGCATATTGTTACCAGTGAGGATATTCAGAGTTGATGAAAAACTGTTTTGACCACAAGCTGTACTGTTAAATACATAAGTTCACAGCAAACATTTGGATGCATGTTTTATATTGGTTTAAAAAAAGTCACTTTAATTCACAACTTCCAAAAGCTCATTCTTAGATTGTTTCCTAGCTGGAATAATACCAATCGGGGGTTTTGTGCGTTAACCAGATTAAGTCTAGTCAATATGTTTGGTACCCAGTATTCTTTAAATGAATGTTTTCCAAAAGTAGCGTAAGTAAGTATTAAGCTATGGTAATCAGCAGTTGTAGTCTACTGAGGGGCATCAAAGCCCTGTGTGATGTTTGTATTAAAAAAAAAAAAAATCATTCTCTTAATTGAAAATCGCATTATGTACGGCCACTGGTTAATGAAGCATACTAATCTAAAAGGTGTAATGTTGGGGTGGGGGAAAGCCTAGGTAACACTGTTCTGTATAAATCTGTAGTGAAGAGAGCCTAGCTGGTTGGCCTGTGAAATGATTAAGAGGCTTCACTGCTGGGTAAACCTGGACCTGAGTTCTAATGCCTACCCGGAAAGCACAATCTGCCATTCAGAGTCTGGTATTAAAAGTCCTGACTCTTAAATTCATGGTAAATATAGTAAGCCGTCTGTCTTTGAGAATATTTTACCCAAAAGAGATCTCAAGTTTTAGCTGAAATATGATTAGGATATTTTAAAACTCTGAATTCATTTTCTTACAAGAAAAGGCTGACTTCTGCTTGGTTCACGGCCAGGAAAATGGATTCTTGTGAAATACGGGGTCTGCTTGTTGCCTATTAACAGTCTCTAGGCATTCTGGTTCATTAACATCATTAAAGAGCTTTCTTATTATTTTATCTAATTTCAGCAGTCTTTTATCCGTTAGTCATAGTTTATCCTTTTTGAGCTGGCATTCTGAAATATCAAAGTCAAGAGTTAGAGGAAGTGAGCTTATTATAGCTTCCACCCAACTGGCAGTTTTCTGACATTTCAGATAGTCTAAATTGGGTATAAAACTCTGCACTGAGGTTTTAGACAAGATACATACCTGCATAATGAGGATAATGTGCCTTTATTGTCTTTTAATCTGATTGACTATTGAAGTTAGTATCTTCTGTTAATCATTTTAGTATCATTTAGTTTGATTGACTGAGATCTCATTGAGTTGAGGGCTAAAGAATACTCTGCTGGTTGAAGTCTGTTACAGTTAAATCTTTTACTGTATATCTTAGACAGGTAATCTTTCTTGGCTTTCCTAAACAGTGAGATGGGAACAAAATCTAATTTGGGTTTTTTTTTTCAATTAGTAAAAGGATTGACAAAGTAAGATGACTTCAGTTCCTTGTTAATTATTGACAGTATTTGTTAATCAGTCCCCTATCTGCAATGTTTATTAGTGTTCACCAGGACCTTACTATATATTTTTAAAAATATGAGATTTGCCACTACCTAAATATCCAAACCTCTCTCACTCTGTGGTTCTAGCAGAATTATTTCTCTTCTCTAAACGTATTTAGTTGAGGCATATCTAGCTAGTGATAGGAGTTAGTAATTTCACACTCATCTTATGATAGCAATCTTAGAAATGCTAAAATGAAAACATTCTTTATTTACCTTATGAAGTAAGAAGATATATTTGAAGATAAATTTATTGGGTGTGTCTCTGGTTAGTCAGTCTATACTTACCATCCCTGGAGTATTGCCAATCCTTGCTTATCCCATGTCAGCCAGCCATGCCGCAGAAGTTTACATGTGAGCCGTATCTCAGAAGTGTGTCTTTTTGAACTTGGCTCAAATTATTGAGAAAACTCTTCTCACACTGTTGCGAGGCCTTCTTTTCATTGGCTCACAGCTTGGAAAAAGTGAATCAAGATGTTCACCTATTTGGTTTGAAAAATCCTATTTTAATTTATTATGCCATGTGACCACTACACTGTCTACATAAACAAAACATGATGTTTAGTTAAAGATGCATTCAGTAGAAGGAGAAAAATTATTTTTAAAAATTCCTGTTAATTTTCTATGGGATTCTTGGGTGATTGTTTTAAAGCATGACAAAGAACTTTGTCACTTCTCATTCATGCAAGAGAGCTCTGTCTTTTGTAATAGTTGGAGAGTTTCACACATTGAATGGCAGTGATACCAGTGGGCCCTTGGGCTTCTTTGCCATGTTCCATGTGAAGCCCAGAGGGCCTTCTTTAATGAAGACATTTTTTTTTTTAGAGTTCTTTCTGGTTTAGAATTTCCTGAGGAGACAAACTGAGGGCTGCTGGAGTGGTGGGGGGTGGGAGGGATGGGGTGGCTGGGTGATAGACATTGGGGAGGGTATGTGCTATGGTGAGTGCTGTAAATTGTGTAAGACTGTTGAATCACAGACCTGTAGCTCTGAAACAAATAATACATTATATGTTAAAAAAAGAAGAAGATAGTAGGAAGGGAAAAATGAAGGGGGGGAATCGGAGGGGGAGACGAACCATGAGAGACTATGGACTCTGAGAAACAAACTGAGGGTTCTAGAGGGGAGAGGGGTAGGGG